ATATAGTATGCTATATAGTATATAGTATGCTATATAGTATATAGTATATAGTAAATAGTATAGTAAATAAATCTTTACGTTAGCCATGTCCTAAAAAATATTTGTCTCATTCAGTACACTGAATCCTTCACCTCTCTATCAGGAGGTGGGTAGCATGTTTTATCAATGGTCTTCTGGAATCCTGGTAGACTATTATTCTGACAAGACTTCAATACAATAGTATTAAATCACATTTTATAAACTATCACTTGTTCCATTCTTTGCTAGCTCAGAAAGAGCTACAAATATTTTTGTATATCCTTAGCATTTGTTTTGCTTAGGGCTAATCTCTTCCCTCACCTACCCTCCTTCTAATTTCCTCTCCCCTCTCCTATCTCCCTGTTGAGTGAAATATATTTCTGAATCCAAGTGTGTTTGTATGTTCATGTATTTCTTCTTCTTTTGACCAGTTCAGATGAGAGAGGTTAAAGTGTCAGTCACTCTCCTCCATCCCCTCTTCCTTTTCTGTATAGATGTCTACTTGTGTACCCTGAACATGAGATAATTTCCCCTAGCCTTTCTTTCTTTTCCTTTTCCCCTCTCTTTCCATTACTTTTTTTCTTTTTTTTTTAGGCAACTGGGGTTAAGTGACTTGCCCAGAGTCACATAGCTAGTAAGTGGCAAGTGTTTGGTCTGAGGCTGTATTTGAACTCAGGTCCTCCTGACTTCAGGGACAGTGCTCCATCCACTGCACCACCTACCTGCCCCCATTACTTTCTTAAGATTATGGAGACACAACAGCACCACTCCCAAGTCTTGTCTAATTGGTTTTCCTCTAAACTTTGAAGGTGGCAGGATTCAGAGGGGACACAGGTATTATCTCCCCACATTTCAATGTAAGCAATTTCTCCTTATTTAGTCCTTTATCATTGTTCGTGTTTATTTTTGAACATTTCTCTTCATTCTTGTGTTTGAACTTCAAAATTTCTCCACCACTCTGGCCTTTTCATCAGGGATATTTGGAAGTCCTCCATTTCATTAAAGCTCCCTGTAGCAATACCCAGTTTTACTGAACAAGTTATTCTTGGCTGTAAGCTCAGATCCTTTGCCTTCTGAAGTGCCATATTCTGAATTGTCTGCTTCTGTATAGTATGGCTAAATCACGTATGACCTTCACTGTGCCTTCTTGGTACTTGAATCTTTTCTTTCCACCTGCTTGAAATATTTTTCCATTGACCTAGAAGCTTTGGATTTTGGCTATGATGAAGTCTGAGGTTTCTTTAAGAAGGTAACTGGTGAATTATTTTTCACTTTGCCCTCTGATTCTAAGAGATCTGGATGACTTTCTTTTAATATTTCCTTTTTTAAAATTTATTTATTTTTAGTTTTCAACATTCACTTCCACAAGACTTTGAGTTCCAAATTTTCTCTCCATCACTCCCCTCTCCCCACCCCAAGACAACATGCATTCTGAATACCCCTTCCCCCAATCTGTCCTCCCTTCTATCACCCCCCCCTTCTCTTATCCACTTCCCCTTCTATTTTCCTGTAGGGCAGAATAGATTTCTATACCCTTTGCCTGTATATCTTATTTCCCAGTTGCATGTAAAAACATTTTTTAAACATTCATTTTTAAAACTTTTGAGTTCCAAATTCTCTCCCTTCCTCCCTCCCCACCCACCTTCATTGAGAAGGCAAGCAATCATGTAAAACACTTCCACAAGTCATGTTGAGAAAGACTAACTATTTTTCCCTCCATCCTATCCCACCCCCCGTTTTTTCTATTCTCTCCTTTGACCCTGTCCCTCCTCAAAAGTGTTCGCATCTCCGGCCTCAGACACTTGACAACCATCAGCCGTGTGACCCTGAGCAAGTCACCCAACCCCAATTGCCTCATCAAAAAGCCAAAAAAAAAAAGTGTTTGCCTCTTATTACTCCCTCCCCAATCTGCTCTCCCTTCTATATCCCCTCTTCTCTTATCCCCTTCCTCTCTATTTTCTGTAGGTTCAGAGAGATTTCCATACCCAAATAAGAGTAAGATTCATTCATTCCCTCTCACCTTCCCCCAGTTCCCCTCCACTGTAAAAGCTTTTTCTTGCCTCTTTTATGTGAGATAATTTACTCCATTCTACCTCTCCCTTTCTCCTTCTCCCAGTACAATCCTCTTTCACCTTTAATTTTATTTTTTAGATATCATCCCTTCATATTCAGCTCATCCTGTGCCCTCTGTCTACATATATCCCCTCCAACTACCATAACACTGAGAAAGGTCTCATGAGTTACAAATATCATCTTTCCATGTAGGAATGCAAACAATTCAACTTTAATAAGTCCCTTATGATTTCTCTTTCCTGTTTACCTTTTCATGCTTCTCTTGAGTCTTATATTTGAAAGTCAAATTTTCTATTTAGCTTTGGTCTTTTCATCAAGAATGCTTGAAAGTCCTCTATTTCATTGAATATCCATTTTTTCCCCTAAAGGATTACACTCAGTTTTGCTGGGTAGGTGATTCCTGGCTGAAGTCCTATCTCCTTTGCCCTCCGGAATATGATATTCCAAGCCCTGTAGTCCCTTAATGTAGAAGCCGATAAATTCTGTATTATCCTGATTGTGTTTCCATAATACTCAAATTGTTTCTTTCTGGCTGCTTGCAATATTTTCTCCTTGACCTGGGAATTCAAGAATCTAGCTATAATATTCCAAGGAGTTTTCCTTTGGGGATCTCTTTCAGGAGGTGATCAGTGGATTCTTTCAATTTCTATTTTACCCTCTGGTTTTAGAATATCAGGGCAGTTTTCCTTGATAATTTCTTAAAAGATGATGTCTAGGCTCTTTTTTTGATCATGACTTTCAGGTAGTCCAATAATTTTTAAATTATGTCTCCTGGATCTATTTTCTAGGTCAGTTGTTTTTCCAATGAGATATTTCACATTGTCTTCTACTTTTTCATTCTTTTGGTTTCATTTTATAATTTCTTGATTTCTCATAGAGTCATTAGCTTCCATTTGCTCCATTTTAATTTTAAGGAATTATTTTCTTCAGTGAGCTTTGGGACTTCCTTTTCTATTTGTATAATTCTGCTTTTGAAGGCACTCTCCTCATTGGCTTTTTGGATCTCTTTTGCCATTTGGGTTAGTCTATTGTTTAAGGTACTATTTTCTTCAGTATTTTTGGGATCTCCTTTAGCAAGCTGTTGACTCATTTTTCATGATTTTCTTGCATCACTCTCATTTCTCTTCTCAATTTTTCCTCTACTTCTCTTATCTGCTTTTCAAAACCCTTTTTGAGCTCTTCCGTAACCTAAGACCAATTCATATGTTTCCTGGAGGCTTTAGATGTAGGAGCTTTGACTTCATTGGCTTCTTCTGGTTGTATATCTTTGTCACCAAAGTAAGATTCTATAATCTGACCCCCATTTTTTCCTTAAGAGTTCTTATTCCTTTAATAAAAACTTTTTTTTAATTCTTGTTTTATCTCTTCCAGAAATTCTAGTTGAGTTTGTGCCCAAGCTGTGTTCTCTGATGCTTTGCTTGGAAAGGTTTTGGAGTCACTCTTCCATCTTTATGTATTCAGCATCTCTGCCACCATAATACCTCATTATGGTGGGATTCTTCTTTTGTTTACCCATTCTTCCAGAGCACTTCCTGACTTTGTACTTGATGTTAGAGCTGGGCTCTGCCAAACTTTTGGAAGGAAGATTTGTGCTGGTCCTATTGCAACTTTCTTAGTTGTTAAGAGTTGTGTTATTCCAGGATCCCAGAGACTGGCTGGGGACCTATAAGTTTCCAAATGTTCCCAAGTAGTCTGATCTAGGACAAAGTCTGATTGATGACCCCCTGGACTGAACTCTACAAGTTCCTGGGTTTGGGTCTGGGCAAGAGTAGACTGCCACAGAATAGACTCTACCCCTATCAACTGGCTGGAAGGCTCTATTGGTGCAGAGTTGCAGAATCAAGTACCTCTTTGGTTTGGGATTCCCACCCTGGTTATTCTTCTGTATGTTGGGCTAAATGCTAGATGTATAACCCCTGCTCTGCACTTGGGATCTGAACTTCTTCCTTTCTCTATACACAGCCTGCAACCTCCCTGCCTGGGAGTACCACTCCCCTGCAAAGGTCTCTTTCTTAGTACTTTCTGAATCTGTAACCCAGAACTGGTTACAGCTGCCCGCTGGCTCTTGTCCCCATTGCAGTGCCCCATATGGGTCTGGGATGCCTTGGTTCTGGTCTGGGGCCTCCTCTTGCCCCAGTTCACAGCCTTTCTCTGGACCCTGGAAAGCTCTACCTTTTGCATGCTCCTAGTCCCAACACCTGTGTCTGAAGATGTCCCTGTCTGTCTCTCTATGCTGACTTTGGCTGGACAAATAACTCTTTGTGAATTTTTCTGGATTTCCCCATCAGGATTCAGTCTGGTGCATGTTCTAGATTTGTTTGGAAGAATTTTGTGGAGGGGAGCTCCCTTTACTACTTCCTACTTCACATGATCCTGGCTCCACCCCCACTAGTAGATAGTTTTCAAGAGTTTCTGCAGCTAAAAAATTTGTCAACATGTGATTAATATGTTGTAAAAAGCCTTTCCCAATTTAGCTAGGCTAGTTATTGGGCAATAGACATACAGCCTATCACTGGGTACAACCAGTGGACCCAATTATCTAGACTAAACTAACACTGGAGAAAATTTAAAGCTGATCTGATTTAACCGAAACAACCCTTATGAACATCCAACTCTTCTATTCTCTGATTCTTTTGCTCACTATGGTAATATATTCTTCTATATTTTGATCTGTTTGGTAAACCAACCACTAGGAGAAAGCACCCTGTCTAAATGACCAGTACAGTTATCCTTCCACACATACCTCCTAATATGAAGTACTATGATGTCATTCTAGTTTACAAATCAGTCTTTTGTTTAGGCTTCTGGAGATCAGGGGTTATTTCATCTGAACTTTGTATGTCCCCAGTTCTGCACACAGTAGGAGCTCAATAAACATCTGACATTGCAGTGAATGACTTACCCTGAATTAGCTAATAACACCAAGTTTTTGAAGCTACAAAGCTGACGACCAGACTCTTAATCTGGGGCAACTCCAGACGACTCAGCCAAGGAATTTTTCTCTAATACCATCTTTTGGATCTTTCAGAAACAGTTAATTCACAGGTTGAAAGGTTGGAAGGGCCCTAAGAAGTCACCTACTCCAACTCATACCTGAATAAATATGACCAAAATGTATCCATGAAGTCTCAGCCTGAAAAAAACCCACTACTTTCCAACATGGCCCATGCCACTTTGGCAGAGTTCTAATTGTTAAGAAGGTTTTGCTTAAATAGAATAAAAAACTGCCTATTACTTCCAACCACAGATTCTAGTTCCTTTGTGGGACCAAGGAGAAAAGGTCTAATTCCTCTAATCCTCAAGGCTGTTGTAGAATCAAATGAGAAAATGTACATAGATTTATTGTTTTATTTTATTTAGGTTTTTCTTTTGCAACATGGCTAATGTGGAAATATGTTTTGCATGACCTCACATGTATAATCAAAATCAAATTGCTTCCCTTCTCAAGAAGGGGAAAGAAGAAGAAAGGAGAGAGAGAATTTGGAACTCAAAATTTTAAGAAATGATTATTAAAAATTTGGGAAATATTTATTGAATGAAATAAAGAAAAATAATTTTAAAAAGAAAAAAGAAAGACAATGCACATATATTGATCTGTAAACCTTATACATAAACACAAGCTAATGTTACCTGGAAGTATGACACTCACTCAGAAATATAAATTTCAGTATATCTGGGTTTTTTTTTAAATCATTCTCATTAAAGCCATGTCTTTACGAACCTCCCTTTCTCTAATCTATCATTCTTGCGACTGTTAAATTAATCTTCCTTGCGCACTTATCATGCACAAGCACTTCCTTGTGAACTTACCATGCACAAGTACTTCTTTGAGAAGTTATCATGTTCTTTATAAGAACTTTTAATTGTCCACCAAATAAAGTACAAAATCCTTAGCCTGGTATCCAAGGCCCTGCACAACCTCAAAAAGTCAGAATCTCAGAATTAGAAGGAAGTTCAGAGGTTATCTAGTCTAACCCAAACATGAGCAAGAATCCCCTTTAAAAAATATCTGATAGGTGGTATCTCAACTTTACCCAAAAGCCTCCTGTGAGAGAGATAGCCCATGATTCTCCCAAGGCAGCCAATGCTGCTTTCAGACAGGTCTGATTTTTAGGAAGTTTCTTCTTTTATTTAGCCCAATTCGGCCATTTTACAACTTCCACCAATTCCTCCCAGCTCTGCCCTCAAGAGCCAAGCAAAACAAATCTAATCCTTCTTCCATAAGTCAGTCAGAATAAAAACAACAATTTTCTATAGAGCTTTGAGGTCTGCAAAGTGCTTTACCTGAATTATCTCTATCCCACGAGTCTTTTTGTCCACACTAAACATCACACCGGGCATTACTCTCAAGCACTCATGGATATCAGTAATGTACTGAATATCCCTGAGGCCTAACTTCCCTGAGGACTGAGAAGGATGCAGTCATGTCCTACCTCCCTGGTTCTCCTTTTGTGGGTCTGGTTCCCTGGTTTCCTCGAGGCTCTCCTCTTGCTGCTGCCTTGCTGTACAGATGGCCTGAGAAGCAGCCCGTCGCTGTTCCTCCTCTGCACAGAGCCCAGCCATATGCTCTGCATCTGTCCAACAGTGCAGGGGCAACAGCACCCGAAACAGATGAAGTTCAAATATGGCCCCATATTCTGGCAGGTCTCGATTGGCCGGATCTCTCAACCAATTGCTGGCCACCTCCAGGATCGCGTGGGGTTCCTTTACTTTGCTGTATAAAAGAATGCTACAATCCCCAACCCCAACAAAGAACAATGTCAACCATTCATCATTATGCATATTCCTCTTCTCTTAGCTCCCAACCTCCTTCCATATGAAATGCTAGGAATGGAAATCTTAGGAATTTCTGGGATCAACTCTAAGCAAGATTGGCCTCCTTTACTCTCCTCCTATGCCCTTCTTCTTCCCATGCTTTTTATCTTTTCCCCTTCTATAACCCCCCCACACTTCCTCTATCCCTCTATCTGTTGTGTTTCAGGGTCCAGAGATCAAGGATCAAAAATATGAGAAGACACGGTTAGCAAATGAACCTTACTGAGGATATCAGACCCCTTTGTTTCTAGTGTGCATCTATGAACTGTCAATGGTAACTTACCACAGTTCCAGAATTTTGGGGGGCAGATGTTCTGGGACCTGATAATACTGCAGAAGCCAAGAGAGAACTTCCCGCCACCGATCCATCTCCGCCAGGGCCTGGATCCCCACCACACACAGGAAGCACTTCAGGTCCTCGCTGTGGTGGATCAGAGTTTAAAAGTAGAGGCTACCACTCCATCTCTCCCTCGCCCTCCCCCTTCCATCCTGGACCTTGGATGCTCGTCCCCTCCTAGTTCACTAGCTATCACCCTCATTGTCACCATTCGTTAAATGTACTTCACAAGTGGAGTAGCTAGCCTCAGCACTTAAGGAATGCTCCCCTCAGGTGCTGAAGACTACTGAACATTGCTGAAGGACTGAGAAACACTAGAGCAAATCTCTGTATGTTTCCCCCTCCACGTTTGCACAGGTGATAATCAGGTTAAAACGAAAAGCAGGTTTTAGGGGAAAAGAATGATAATAATAATAATAATAATAATAATAATAATAGAAGCTAGCATTTATACTGCGCTTTAAGGTTTGCAGAGCACTTTAATGTTAACTCTTTTGATCCTCACAACAACCCTGTGAGGTAGGTGTTATTGTTATCCCTATTGTACAGATATGGAAACAGGCAATAGAGATTAAGTGACTTGCCCAGCCAGGGTCACACAGCCAGTAAGTATCTCAGAAAGAATTCAAACTCAGGTCTATCCTGACTCTCAATTCTTGAGATCATCTACCAAACCACCTTAAAAGGGCAGCCTGCAAGGTAACTACAGAAGTGGGGAAAGCCTACTCACCTAGCCAGAAGGGGTTTCAGAGAAGGAATGTATTGTAGTTAACTGTGAGTATATACACACATATAATTATATATAATATATACAACTATTCATACATACATATACACACATATCTTTTTAAACATCAATTCATGAAACTACTTCCTTCTCTCTTGAGGAGGAAATAGCTGTGTCAATAAGGAGCTGAACATCCTCACTTTTTAATTTAGCTTTCCAGAAAAACCTAAAGAAAAACACTGCTCTTATATGGTCAGAAGTGTCATATGGCCATGGTGAGGCAGAATCAGGCATTTCTCCAGCGACTAGACAATAGAGAAGAAGCCATCGACAGAATCTCAGACCCTGCCACCATCTCCTCCCTTTCCACAGAAAAGGCCTTACAGACTGGGAAGAGGGAGGTACCTGGCCAAGGGAGGTAGTGGTGAGGCAGGGCTTCTCACTGTAATCTTTGACCCGACAGGCACATTTCCCTTACCATCCACCACCCTGAATGCTACCCTGGCTACAATTCCATCAAACACTTAGGGCAAGAGTCTTCCTCTGCTGAGAAGGCAGCCAAGAACATACAGGATTACTACAACTATAAAACATTAAGACAGCTTTAAAGTGGCAACAAAACCAATGAAAAAAATCACACTATAAAAAGCATACCTGTCCTTTCTTTTAAAAAATAGTTAACTGCTAAAGGGTAGGGTCACCTGTACTATCTGGTGAAATTGCTCTTTTAAGCTGTTTTAACTATCTCAGCACAAGCTTCTTAGAGACGATTTTGCTTTTCATCTATGTATCCCCAATAGCTAGCATGGTGACTTGCAAATAGTAAGTGATTAAGAAATGTTTGTTGAATCAACTATTGTGGAAGATTCAGGTATGAGGAGTAGAGAACTTGTGTGACGGATCCAAATTAAATTTATCAATTTTTTTTTAAAAATGGAAAAAAGGCACCTGAGCTCCTCAGATTAGGCAGGGGACTGTGATCTTAGGATCATAGATTTCGAGTAAGAAAAGGCCTTAGAAGACATCTAAAGAAGTGATATCCTAATTTTTTTTATCCCATATCCTATCAATAAAAAATTTTGAGCACCCTCCAATATATATTTATTTGTAAATTATATTCAAGTACTATTATACTAATAATCTTCAAACTAATTAACATAACTTTAAGTATTATATAATTTATATGTTTACATGTTATAATTAAACATTATAAAATTTACAAAAATAGAAATTAAAAAGGATGAGATAAAGATATAATAATATTAATTAAATAATAACAATAATAATATAAAAGATATCTTTTTAAACATCAATTCATGAAACTACTTCCTTCTCTCCTGAGAAGGAAATAGCTATATCAATAAGGAGCCAAACATCCTAGCTTTTTAATTTAGCTTTCCAGAAAAACCTAAAGAAAAACACTGTTCTTAGATGGCCAGAAGTGTCATGTGGCCATGGTGAGGCAGAATCAATAGGGAGTCACTAGAGTCAATAGGGAGGCACTAAAGTTTACTGAGTAGGGGAGTGACATAATTAGACCTGGGCCTTTGTAATATTAGTTTGGCAGCTGTATGAAAAAATGGACAGACAGAGGAAAAACTAAGGGCAGGGATAGCAATTAGAAACTAGTGCAAGAGTTATTGAGTCAAGAAGTGATGAGGGCCTAAAGGGGGGGGGTCACAAGGGATGATGTGAAGGCAGAATAGAGAAGATATGGCAGTTGACTGAACATATATGGTTCAGGAGAGTCAAGGATGATGTTGATGTAGTGGAAATATGAAAGCTCATGAGCGAAGTGGATTTTGGGGAAAGGATAATGAGATCTGTGATGCAGATTACAACCCACCCCATACACCTGCTGGTTCTGTGCGACTTGTTTTGTTCTACTGAAGCCAAAGGTCTTACCCTTTGAAGGGACACACCTAGC